CTTTTATCATAAATCATTGACTCTTAATTACTTATATATAGACATTTTTATAACCAATATTTTCATTTATCATTATTATTTTTTAAAGCTGAAATATCCTACATTCAACAAAACTATATTATTTTCCGCAACTCAGACGTACCCAATCGGACTACTCCAGAAATGAGTTGCCAGTTATTTTTTTTCCCGTTAATTTTCTTCAATAGTTAGACGTAACACAGACTCCCGAATCAACTCACAGTAGCTTTGTCTGCGTCCGGACGGTGCAGCTCCAGGTTGATGGGCAGGAAGGACACGAGGGCGCTCAGCAGCCAGATCGCCCCGATGGCCATGGTGACAATCCTCTTGGTCATCCAGCGACCGTATCTCAGCGGATCCTGTAGGAGGCGCAGAAGGAGTGTTGGGATTAAAGAAGGTTTATTCTGTCTTTCATTTCGTTCTTGTTCTATTATTATTTTTTTATCTTTCCTTTTCTTTGTCTTTTTTTTTGCTCTTTTTCCCTCTCTGTTTTTCGCATTTTCTCTGTCTGTCGATGTTGTTTTTATTTTTTTTTTTCTCTTTTTATTTTTTTTCTTTCTCATCCTTATTATCTCTTTTTCCTTCTCATTCTCATCCTCATTCCCATTCTCATTCCTATTCTCATTCCCAGTCTCTGTCTCTCCCACAAAATTCCTCTCATATGCTATTCACTGAAAGGAATCCATCATTATTGTCATACAAATGCAATTGAAAAATGAATCCATATTAATTAAAGTATTGACAGTGTCATTCCCAACTTACTGCAAACACATCCATTAAGGTCTCTCTCTCTCTCTCTCTCTCTCCTCTCTCTCTCTCTCTCTCTCTCTCTCTCTCTCTCTCTCTCTCTCTCTCTCTCTCTCTCTCTCTCTCTCTCTCTCTCTCTCTCCTCTCTCTCTCTCTCTCTCTCTCTCTCTCTCTCTCTCTCTCTCTCTCTCTCTCTCTCCTCTCTCTCTCTCTCTCTCTCTCTCTCTCTCTCTCTTCTCCTCTCTTTTCTCCCCTCTTCTCCCCTCCCATCTCTCCCCTCCTTCATCCATCTTTCTACCCACCCTCTCCATTCTTTCCCTTCTTCCTCTTCCCCCTTCCTCCTCTCCTTCTCCTCCTCTCCCCCCTTACCTTTATGTGAATATATCTATCGAGACTGATAGCGCAGAGGTTGACAATGGAAGCCGTGGAGCACATAACATCAAAGGCGATCCAGATATCGCAGTACTTGGGACCGAAAGGCCAGTAGCCGAGGAGGTCATTGACGAGGGCGAAGGTCATGACCACGCAGGCGACGAAGAGGTCAGCGATGGCCAGGGAGACGACGAAGAGGTTGCCGATCTTGCGGAGGTTGCGGTCGGTGTAGACGGCAACGCAGACGAGGACGTTGCCGAAGATCGAGAGGAAGATGACGAAGGAGAGGATGATGCCTGGCGGGGGAGATAAAAACGAGGGGGAGATGAGAAAAGGGAGATTAAAAAGGAAAGAAAGTGAAAAAAGTGGATAGAGAAGAAAAAAGGGAAAAGAAGAAAGGAGTGAAAAAGGAGATGAAAGAGTGGAATAAAAGAACTAGACACGCACGGGAGAGAGGAGAGAGAGAGAGAGAGAGAGAGAGAGAGAGAGAGAGAGAGAGAGAGAGAGAGAGAGAGAGAGAGAGAGAGAGAGAGAGAGAGAGAGGCTAATCTGTATATCTTGCTATGTTGTAAACGAGAACGTAGGAACATCAAAGGGAGGTAATCTCTTTCTTTCTCCCTCTCTTCGCTTTTTTTTTTTTTTTTTATTCCTCTCTCTGTCGGTCTCTCTCTCTCTCTCTCTCTCCTCTCTCTTCCTCTCTCCCTCTCCCCTCTCCTCCCTCTCTCCCTTGTGTCTGCTTCCCCTCACCTCCTTCAAGACATAAGACTTCCTACTCACAAACACAATCGCACACCGTGTAGAATAACCTCGCTTCGTAAACATTTCTTTTGAATTAACTTTCTAAAACTTTGATCCAGATGTGGGAACTGAAGAAAGGCCGATAAGAATAGACGCTGAAGGATGTATCACCCCCTCCCCCCCTCCCCCCACCACTTCGATTCATCCCCGCCGTTGCCAAAGATTATCATCTTTTTTTTTTTTTTTTTTTTTTTTTTTTTTTTTTTTTGGGGGGGGGGTCTTACTTGACTGTCGTTGTTACTGGAAGATACTCGATCCTGGAAGAGTTAGTGGGTCTGAAGCTTCTTAGTCAGTTTTTTTACCCTTTGGATCTGTTTCTTGGGAAAGAACACAAAAGGAAACACACACACACACAACACACACACACACACACACGCACACACACACACACACACGCACACGCACACCACACACACACACACACACACACACACACACACACACACACACACACACACACACACACGCACACGCACATACATGCAACCCTTCCTCCCCTCCACCACACACTCGAGAGATTCCCGTGAGCGCTGAAGATCTTAAGGAACCTCCCCCTCCACGACATGGCTCTGGCTAACTTGGTTCCTGGAAGATTATCCTCAAGGCACGAAACTACCCCAACTTTGTACTATCCTCATGCTCTTCCCCCAAGTTTCATAAAGCCCTTGAAACTGAGTTTATATCCCGACCTTTATAATCACGTTGGTGGCAGCAAAGGCTTAGGGTTAAATCACTATTAACCCAAACCCACCGCTATGTCACTGATGTCCTACGTGATGTGAAAATCAACTTCAGTTTTCATATTTAATCTTCCTTTCTCTTGAATTACCCAGCTGTGAGGATTTTTTAAAAATGTATGTCCAGTAAAATGTGTCTCACTTTGTACCCTTTCTTCGAGTTCAGTCGACCATGCATATTCTGATTGGGATGAAATGCTTGTTCCGTTCAGTTATCAAACCATGATGCACGATTTCGCAAATAATTTACTTTGTATATTGTTTCTTTATTTTCATCGCCATTTCCAACAGATTATATAATAAAATATAACATTCTCTCTCTCTCTCTCTCTCTCTCTCTCTCTCTCTCTCTCTCTCTCTCTCTCTCTCTCTCTCTCTCTCTCTCTCTCTCTCTCTCTCTCTCTTCTCTGTTCTCTCTACCTGCCAAGAAGGCCTATATAAGAAGTTAAAAAAGCCGGCCAACAGGAGAGTTGTTCAGCCATTGAACAGTGCAGCTCTGACGCCTAACCTTCCTACTGTAACCCGAAAATATTGTGTGGTTTTTACTATAGAAAAACGAAATGTATAAGATATCGGGTTCACAGCGCATTATTAATTACTAATTACGGATATTATTCATTGTTTGTGTGATGGTTTAAGGTAATTGTTTGTATGCATTTGAAGTGTTGGTAATGGGTTGGTTTTGATTAATGAAAAGAAAACTTTACTTGCTTTTTATGTTTTTTTTTCTATGAATGTAATCGTGATTATAAAAGTGCATGAAGAAATAAAAATTTAGTTACCTAAGTAAATCTATATAATTCTCATATCTGATTAAGCCAAGTGAATCTATATAATTCTTTCCCTAAGCCAAGTGAATCTATATAATAAGCCAGTGAATGCTATATAATTCTTTCCCTAAGCCAAGTGAATCTATATAATTCTTTCCCTAAGCCAAGTGAATCTATATAATTCTTTCCCTAAGCCAAGTGAATTCTTTCCCTCAACTATAAATTCTTTCCCTAAGCCAGTGAAGCCATATAATCAAGTGAATCTATATAATTCTTTCCCTAAGCCAAGTGAATCTATATAATTCTTTCACTAAGCCAAAGGAATCTATATAATTCTTCCCTAAGCCAAGTGAATCTATATAATTCTTTCCCTAAGCCAAGTGTAGTGAATCTATATAATTCTTTCCTAAGCCAAGTGAATCTATATAATTCTTTCCCCTAAGCCAAGTGAATCTATATAATTCTTCCCTAAGCCCTATATAATACCTTCACTAAGCCAAGAATCTATATAATTCTTCCCTGAATCTATATAATTCTTTCCCTAAGCCAAGTGAATCTATATAATTCTTTCCCTAAGCCAAGTGAATCTATATAATTCTTTCCTAAGCCAAGTGAAATCTATATAATTCTTTCCCTAAGCAAGTGCCAAGGAATCTATATAATCCTATAATTCTTTCCCTAAGCCAAGTGCTAGTGATTCTTTCCCTAAGCCAAGTGATCTATATAATTCTTTCCTAAGCCAAGTGAATATATAATTCTTTCCCTAAGCCAAGTGAATCTATATAATTCTTTCCCTAAGCCAAGTGAATCTATATAATTCTTTTCCTAAGCCAAGTGAATCTATATAATTCTTTCCCTAAGCCAAGTGAATCTATATAATTCTTTCCCTAAGCCAAGTGAATCTATATAATTCTTTCCCTAAGCAAGTGAATCTATATAATTCTTTCCCTAAGCCAAGTGAATCTATATAACTTTCACTAAGCAAGGAATCTATATAATTCTTTTTCCTAAGCCAAGTGAATCTATATAATAAGCCAAGTGAATCTTTCACTAAGCCAAGGAATCTATATAATTCTTTCACTAAGCCAAATCTATATAATTCTTTCACTAAGCAAAGTGAATCTATATAATTCTTCACTAAGTGAATCTAATAATTCTCCTAAGCCAAGTGAATCTATATAATGCTGTCTTCACTAAGCCAAGTGAATCTATATAATTTTATATCTATATAATTCTATCTTCACCAAGCCAAGTGCTAAGCAAGATCACTAAGCCAAGTGAATCTATATAATTCTTTCACTAAGCCAAGTGCATCTATATAATTATTTCATTAACCAAGTGCATCTATATAATCTATCTTCACTAGGCCGAATGAAGCTATATAATTCTAATATCTTGACTAAGCTAAGTGAATCTATATAATTCTCATATCTGACTCAGTCAATTGAATCTATATAATTCTCATATCTTGAATAAGCTAAGTGAATCTATATAATTCTAATATGCTGACTAAGCCAATTGAATCTATATAATTCTCATATCTGACCAAGCTAAGTGTCTATTTAATTCTCGTATCTTGACTAAGCTAAGTGAATCTATATAATTGTAATATCTGACTCAGCCAAGTGAATCTATATAATTCTCATATCTTGACTAAGCCAAGTGAATCTATATAATTCTAATATATTGGCTAAGTTAAGTGAATCCATATAATTATAACATTTTACTAAGCTAAGTGAATCTACACTAATCTAACAAGCTAAAAGCTAAACACTTACTCTGTTAAGCTAAATTTATATAAAGAATCTGGAAAATATATGGAATTTAATAATGCATGGAAGTAAAGCCTAATGCATCAAACTTTATTATGAATATGTAGTGACATCCTTTCCCTTGACTAAGAATAAACCTCGTCAACCAACTACAACGTAAATAATAATAATAATAATAATAATAATACACACACACACACACACACACACACCACACACACACACACATATATATATATATATATATATATATATATATATATATATATATATATATATATATATTCTTTGTTCTTATTCCACTAAGAACTATCACTTAGTAGCCATATTATTTAACCCTTTGATTTCATTCTCGGAATTCCCTCCCATCATTTAGCCTTAAAACCCTTTTATCGCATTCACTTAACTCGCAAAAGACTGCGTGTAACACCAGTCGTGTCTGTAATTTATCTTTTGTTAATGACTGACATGGGAATTAAAGCATTTCTCTGGCATGTTCTTTGTTCTATTGTTGTTCTGTAGATAATTCATTTTGGTTATTATTTGTATTTATGAACTTACACATGTATTAAATATATTGTACATCTTATTTATATTACATTTATGACAATGTACATTTTATTTTACGTTTTATACATTACTATTATACTTTCATATTTATGATGTTATATCCTACTTCATACTATATTTATTACACATTCATTTTTCCTTTACGGCAAGACTTCTTAGTAATTAGTTTTTTTTTTATCCATTTATTACGTTCCATCTTTGTCACGTTTATTACCATCTTTATCCGGCGTTAGTTGGTCGGTTTGTCAGCAGGAATGCGTGAAAAAGTTACTGCCAGATCGTGATAAAAAATATGGGAGACATGGAGACATTTTTAACATATTATTTTTAGAAATTTAGGATTTTTCACAACTGAGAAACCCGGAAATGCGTCTACTGCTACCCGGAAATTTATCAAACTTTGGATTAAAGTTAAATTTTGCTCTCAATGCCCTCTAGTTATTATTGTTCTTAGGATTTCCTGTATTTATTGCTGCCTCTCTCAGGTACAGAGAAATGCCATATACATTCAGATAAAAAGCGTATAAAATCAGACACTAAAAAAAAAAAATAAAATAAATAAAATAAAATGAATAAATAAATAAATAAAATAAAAAATTGATGATCCAATCCCTTCTGCACAAATTATATTGAGTCTGTCACTTGGCCTGACCACACCCACGACTCGGGAACACTTACGGCCTGTTTGCTGAAACCGAGCGAGAATCGACCTTATGAATGTATATCATACGGACATGCATATGCACAGATATAAATACGTATTTATCAGACTAGACATGCATGCAAACCGGATAAATGGATGAATGTATATCTATCAGATAAAAAGATATGCATTTATTTCTGTGTATATGTGTATATACGCATAAATAAATATCATACTACGTGGAAATTTATAATGACACATTATGCATCTATTTCTTTGTATATGTCGGTTTATATGAATATTCATTTGGTCGGACCGCGAAGAATTTGAACAAACCGGAAGTTACACCTTAGCTTCCTCTGCTTAACTGCTGATCAATACCTGCTTCTCCTGCTAAGCGCCGTTTGCACTAGGATCTGCTTGGCCCCCTTTTTAGCACATTCACGCCCATTTCTTCGCTTTCGCCGCCCATAGATGTGGTTCAGTGGGCGTAGGAGAGATAATGGTTAGAATTGGTCTGAATTTTGGGTTCTCGGGCTGACCTTGACCTCAAACAGGGAATTTTTTTCTCTCTTATGCCGGATGGATAGATAGATAGATGGATAGACGGGCAGATTGATAGATGGGTGAATGGATGATTGATGGGTAGACAGATAAATAAATAGTTACATAGGTTTGCGCGTGTAATAGCAATACAGATAAAGATTATGATGATAAAAGATTAAAGAAAAAACTAGATAATAATAACATAAATAACAAATTGATGAAATAAACAGTAATTCCCTTTTCAAACTTTTCCTTCGGATTTGTTTATCGATTTCTTAGGGAAGGATGCGAAGGGCAGCGAAGGGGCTCGCGAACCCGTCTCGATTCCCGAACCAAAGATATCTTAGGCTAATACTGCGATCCGTGGACATCCCGAGTCCGCTAATGGTGTCTCGAGAGATGCACTAACTTCTCTCGAGAGATGCACTAACTTCTCTCGAGAGATGCACTAACTTCTCTCGAGAGATAACTTGTCTCGAGAGATGCAAACTTGTTCGAGAGAACTTTGTACTGGAGAAGCTGCGAGG